GCCGTCTGGTCTCGTTGGGAGAACGCCCCTCGTCCGTGCGTTGTCGTGAGTCTCCCCACACACACACACACGCACGCACGCCGACGGAGCGGCTGTGTCTCCTGGAAAGCGCGGAACCGCGTCCGGGCGGCGCGGGGCGGCGCGCGTTCGCAGAAGCCAGGGGGCGTATTCCAGCCGGTGGCGTCACGGCGTTTAGAGCTTCTTGGGAAAGGCGGGCGGCGGGCGGCGGCTGGCGCGGCTCCCGGGGCGCGGGGCGGTGGCCAGGTACGCGGCCCACGCGCGCGGGAATAGACGGCGCGCACTGCGCCCGACCCTCGCTCTGCGCGGGCGAACCCCACTCGCTCCGACTGCTTGCCTCACTGTTTCTTCTCGTATTAACTTTACCACAGAAACGCTAATGAGACAGGCCGACTCCGAACCCCAGAATAAATCGCAATGTAACTGAAAGCAAGGTTATATATTTAAAAACCAGTGCTACATATACTTTGCAATGTATCACAATGCTTTTATTGAAGTTTGTGTTAACATATTTTTAGTTTTTTAAATATATATGAGGGTTAGGGCAGATGTCATGGCAGCTATTTCTTTTCTACAATATTATCAAATCATATAATTTTATTTCTTGCATTAAAGAAATACACTACTAGTATGTGTTCACAACAAAAGATTTGAGTCTCTCCATTAGCACAGAAAGCGTTGTAAAATCAGTAATTTGACTATCGCAGTGAGAGATGAATGCAACTGGCGAGAAACGCTCTTACATCAAGATAGCCTATCCCCGTTGAAGAAATTCCCTACAATGTCACAGAAAATTGGTGGAAGCTTTTGGGAATAATGCCATCCCACACCAAACAGTCGCGTGATAGCCAGGAGAGTTTCGGCGAGGGCGCATTGCAACCTATCAGCAACGCACGAAAGTACCTACGAGTGTGCGGACCAACTAAGTGCGGTAAACTCGCCCTCTCGTTATCCGATGTCACTCAGACATCAACCCGAATCCCGATTTGATTTATTTACTCAAAAAACAGTAGAAACTGTATGTGACGAATGGGGGGGGGATCAACTGCCTACGTTTTCTTGAGTTCCAGAATTCCTTACAAACATTTGAACATTAAATAGTGAAAAGGAATAGAATTTTTTAAGAAAAATAATAAAAAGCGTGAGATTAGCAACATTTGTAGAAACTAGAAATTTTCGTTTCCGAGTTATAGAAAACGTATTTGCAGTGGCAAACGAACTCCAGATTTGATTCCTTTGTATAGCCAACAAAATAGCAATTCTCCTCCAGCTCTACTGCTACCACTACCACCACTACAAGCAAAATGAGAGTTCAACAAAATGTGCGCATAGTGAAGCTACATTTACGTCCAGAAGCAAAACAAGGGGTCATCTCAGCATTTGCTCAATGGATCAGGGAAACCGTTCAAAAACTTGATCGAGACGGGGGTCAGTCTACATCTTTGCCTTTCGGCGTAACGATTTTGAAATATCACTAGTCATACACTGCATTATATTAGTAAATTTTTCTTTCTGTCTGTAAAAGTGTCGACTTTCAAGTTCTACTTGGTAGAACTCTTATTATTTTTATAGACGGAAATATATAATTTTTGGATACAAGATTATAATATTTGAATACGAAAAATAATGACAAATTAAAATCTGTAAAAACAAACAACGAATGTACTATACCGACAATGTACTATATCTGCATTTCACTAGTAGTAACTATGTATCACTACAGTAATAGCACCAACTTCATTCATAATACTACGTTACTCTGTCATATTTTCCTGATGTCTGTAGTAGGCAACAGGCAATTTCTCCACGAATTTGAAAGAGCGGCTACAATATACACGGAAGTGGCCAAAGACATGGGATGCCTTCCAATATCGTGTCGGACGTCCTCTTGCCCGGCGACGTGCAGCAAGTGGACGTGGCATGGACTCAACGAGTCGTTGGAGTCCCCCGCAGAAATATTGAGCCATGTACCACAGATGAGTGGGAATGAGAGGAAAGGCATGGAAATAGGTATTCTCGGCCTTCTATTGGCACTGTAGATGTAGAAAAACCCAGTTCCTAACGATTTCCGAAGTGGTATGTCCCATGCTCCAAGTACCACTCCGTGTTCAAAGTCAGCAAATTCTCATCTTGCGGATATAATCACATCAGAAACCTTATAACAAGAACCACTTGAATGCAAATAAAAGCTCTGCCAATGCTCTGCCCTTTTATACTTTGTTAAGCAAAACTATTGCCGTTTGTATAATTCACAACTCGGACTTGCATGTGTCATAATTTATCGTATGCGGCTCTCTAAAGCACAAGACAAAGCACGCAGATATGCAAAAAATAATCCGAGAATTCAAGAAATTTGGTTAATTTCATAAGACTTGGTTCGTGTTTAGCGTTCATTGTTATGCCGCTGCATACTGCGGTTATAATTTACAACAAAAATCATTTTAAGTAGATTTAATACATTAAATTAATGGTATACATAAAAAATTTGATATTATTAAAGTACTCTAGTGTGCGGCAAGCGCTGTTTATCTCACTCGACGTTTGCACCGAAAACGAGGAGAAATGACCATATGCCCAGCCCCGTAGGCAGACGCCGCGCCGGTGTCTGCTATGACGAAGCAGCCGCGTTGAATTTCGCGCCCGGAAGTAACATTTAAACGCAATTTTCTCCAAAACAATTTTTTCGGAAAACTGCATCTGATTAGAGAGAGAGAGAGACGGGGGAGAGAGAGAGAGGAAGCTCATATGAGTCAGCTCACTACGTTGACCATGACTTGCTTGACGGGCGCTGTGCCATATCACCGCTCTGGAAGTGCAATAAGCGCTCGCAGTGCCGCGCCACACGAATTACGCAGTCGGGCGCGAACAAGGAGACCGAGAAATTTGGGTGCACCTGCTTGGTAAAGAGGAAAAGGAGCGAGCAGCTCGGCCGCGTGAGAGGAGGAGAGGGTGGTTGTAGCGACGGAGTTGGCGAATCGAGGAGTGTTTTGAGTTGCGACACGCGATGTTCTGTTTTTTATCGCTTCCTCCTGTTCGCGCAGTTCGTTTAGTAATCGTAAGAACTAGCGATCAGAGACATTGAAAGTGTTATTTAATGTTATAGTGAGAGAACATTAACTGGGTTGAAATTGGTTGGTTTTGCGAAATGTGTGCACGGAAAAAAGGACAGTTGCGGTATCCCAGATTCATGATACTGAAACAAGTTTCCTTGTTACAGTATCATGAATCTGGTTTACTGCAACTGTTCTTTTATTCGTGTGCCAATTACAATTTGGGACGCTTTGTTGATTTTTACGGGAAGAGAGGCACGAGCGGTTCGGAAAAAGGATATTGCAACCGTCGCAAACGAACTTTCAACAGGCGTGCGTCGAACGCCTCATGAATATTTCATGTGTCTTGTTCAGGAAAGTTACTGTAGCGCACATTAAACTGTTTGAATGTAAAGGTAGCAACGATATATTCACCAGTTCAGGATAGAACATTGGATTATTGAGGAGACAAGTCATTCTTCCTACTACATTCATCATACTATGACCATCATGCGCCAAGGTCCAGGAAGACGCTGCGATGTAAGAAAAGGGAAATAGAAATTGTAGAAAAGAAATAAATACACTTAGATTGTACTGGGAATCGCGAAGTCAAGAATAAATAGTTCTCATTTTTTGACCGAAATCTTCGGCAGCCTAGTACTCGGATGTACGGAAAGTCTCAGAATTCCTGTCTTGTAGCAGAGGTGCTGGCTTGAACGGCACACGTAACTGCCCTGTGAAGTAAATGCACATTCTGTTCAAGACAAGTGGGACACAATGTTTTGCTCAATGAATTCTGTTTGAAATAATGGTGTTTTCTATTAGCAATAATGCTGTCACTCAATGAAACACATAGTGGATTCAAATGTCAACCTCCTACTGAAAATAAGGAGCCATCCAAATAGATTATGCCTGTCGGTGGAACACATTATTTTGTGATGTGTTTACTTTGTTCGTAATAACAATACTAATTTCCCGGGACAAAACCATAAGATAGAAAAAGTTATATTAACAAAAGTCCTAAACAATGAAACAGAAACTGCTCACGTAAACTATGATAAAGGGGGGAAAACTTCCGTCCTTGACACCCCCAATAGGTGTGTGACTGTTAAGCAATCACCTGAAATGGTTAATGATTTCTATTCGGTATAATACTACTTGTGGAAGTATGTTTTAAACCCTTGTTATTGACTGTTATATTCGTCTGATTGTTTCATATCGAAAAGACAAATTTTAGATAGATATTCTGCTGTGACTTCACCTATGAGGTATATTCCCAAGATAGGATGAGGCAGGGGAAGAGACGATCCCCCACTCGACCTGCCATGGATCCACTCAGCTAGCTCGGGAGGAAGAGAGAGGACGACGTCGGTCCTTGGGCGTCGTCAGTTCGGCTCAAATTATGCTCTTTCGCACGGGGGATAAAATATTTTTTCGGACGATAACTTGTTTTCGATATTTGAAGCGTTGAAATGCTAGCTATTGATGTTTGATTGTTGGTCTTCTGCAAATTTTCAGCGATGTGTGTATGTTAGAGGAAGGAGTTCCATTCTTTAATCCAAGTTCAACTTTGAAATGATTCTTTTAGATATTTATCCCCCCCCCTCATCATTTCATCGGGGAAGGAATCCCGCTCGGGATATCACTACACAAACAGGACAAATAGACGAAGTAATTGATGCAACTAAACACAATAAATGCTCGCTCACTAATGAGTAAGATCTCCTCAAAATGATCGAGACGACTTCCATTAACATTATTTAGGTATATTAAAGGCAGTTGTGTAAGTTAAAACTATTATTTTGACCAATTATTTATCATGTTGCTTTTAGATATCTTAAAGAAAAACTACAAAATCAAGAACAATAAGCAATGAGAAAACAAATTTTCTAAAAACTAACTAATACATATTTCTGTACTATATTAGTCTAAAATAGCCTTCGGTGCACTCACCCTTATCTTTGTCGGAGTCCTTGCGGCCCGTGTCGAAGATGCCGGTGGTGAGCGCCTTCCGCTTGAGCAGGTACGCCCTCCGCTTGGGCTTCTGCACGGCGGGCCCGCTCACGGACTCTGCCAACCATTCCACACACAACACTTCTAAAGCCAAAGCTCAGAAATACGAAACAACACTCTCTTAATTAGATTCGTTGCAGAGTACTAAATGACTACCTTTTCTCGCTTTGACTACCTTTAGATTGAATGTCAGGTGTTTTTTTGTCACCACATGGGTTTGCAGGTGTTCTATAACTTGGCAACACAACTAGTTTTTAAATTAACTTCCTCTGTGTTTAGATAAAAGGTTGCAGTTAAGATGACGATGAAGAGGAAGTAGGCCGTTTCGTCGGAGGAACTTGGTCAATGTATGTTGCGTGCTTTGACGGAACAGCCTCACGCCTTTCGTTACAGCCGTTGGATCGATGGATGTTGTGGCAGAAGAGAGATTTGTAGGGTGGGATTTGAAATTGTACGCGGTACGCTGTTTGCGGTGTTTTTGCGTCCAGGAGGAAAAGAGATTTGAACTGATACAGAATCGTCGTGTAATGAAGTACCTGGATGGACGTCTTTGCAGAGAGACGCTCTACAGAACAATTCTGAATGTTTACTCGCTGGAGGAACTGTGCTCATAGATCAACATAGATCGAACAAGTTAATGGTTCACATGACAAAAATAAGTTGTTTTTTTTCATTCTACCCTGAAAAAAGGTAGAATCCGCATAAAAATAGTATACTACAAAATCATGAATATTTTTGGTTCTGCAATACTCTATCTAAACATTTTCTCATTGTTCTGCCTTGATGTTAATGAAGCAGATGCAAGAAAGAAAATTAGATATATTAACCAATCCGATACAACACTGATTTGCTCTTGCTATTTTATAATTAGTCTGATTTTATGTAGGACGAATAGGATTTCATAGTTTGTAATTGGCGGTAGGAACTGAAACGTGGTTTCTTCATATTGACAAATCCTGCAGCGTGTTCGCAATTGGCTAGAAGGATAGACTTACCCGTAGGAATGCGTACGTTGACGCCCAGGTTGATCTCCTGCAGCTTGGCCAGGGCCACTTTGCACAGCACGCGGCGCTCCATCTCCGACAGGCTGAGCAGCGGCACGTCGCCCAGCGTGACGGCGCGGCCCTCCAGGTTGGTCCACGTGCAGTGGCCCTGCGCACCAGCCACACGCCCCTTCAGCGCTCCCCCCTCTAGATTCATTCTCGCTTCCCAGTGCTTCGACATGACACTTGCTATCCCAAGGGTTTTAGAATATCAAACACGCATCCAGTGGCAACAATTGTCCGTCAGTTTATACTTAGTTTTTAAGTGACAGTTGTAATAAATGTTGTAATTATTTTATCAAAATTTCTTTCAACTGACTGACATTTTGCCCAGCATTTGTTTCAGTCTAACTGATCTACGGGTAGGGGACGCAAATATTTATCTTTAATTTTTTATCGGCCACCCTGAACATTTGGTACTTGCATGAGCTTTCTCAAAATCCGTTATCTCAGCCCTATCTACTTTTCTGTAAAAAATTGAATCACGAATAAAAGTTAGCAACGTTTTTTTACTACATTCGATCACAAGAAATAAAGATTCGCCTAATATAATCTATTTTCAGAGCCAATCAAGCGACTGGCTTGCTTGTCCATTGCACAAAAATAAATGAGAGATAAATAAATAAAGATATTGTCAGGTATCAATATTTTAATTCAACTAATGATCATTTCGATTGCGTAGCGATCATCCTCAGAGCTAAAAACAATACAAATATACAATGTGAAATATTAACAGGTTGGTTATTGTATACAAGATGCGTAAGCAAAAATGAGAGATACTTCCACTCACACAGCGAAATGAGAGGTCAAGGAAAACCTCGCAAATAGTATTTAAGGCATTCTTTTTATTGTATGCGGTATTAATATTAATAATTATTTATGATTTTATTTTATTATTAATAATTTTATTTATATATTATTTTGAATTTAGACGTTATTTTACCTTGGTATTGATATTGTATTGATAGAGTTTACTGTATGAGTTTCCAGGGGGGGGGTTCTTTCCTGTAATGCCATTGGCCTGGACTCGCTCTTGAAACTTCCATACTTCCATCCTTCCACACATTCACACAAACAAACAAAATATAACTAAAAATAAGCAGCCTCTGATTCATGCAATGCTCACGCTCATGAATGTTCATAACTAGCTCAGTCTGCATTCTACAGTGGCGTGGAATTTCAGTAGACAATTTCTATGAGTTCTCTGCAAGTTCATATTGAATGAAAGTTACATGAAGTTACAATAGAGTTACATGAAAAAAGTATTGATAGAGGTACTTTTTTTAAAATCCATGTTTCATTTCATTAGTAAGTTTAACTATCGTCAATGTTTTTAGATTGAGTATAAAAACCAATACTTCTCAACTTCAAAGCATTTGATTTTCTAAAATAATGTTTTCTTTAAAATTAATTAAATTGTTTGTATTTTGCGAACTTCTTGGGGGTGAGGGTGTTACATGTGATTGTTTACCATGCAATGATGATGAATGAAAAGGATAATGACCCTAAAATGATTCTATTTCATCGATGAATTATTCTGGGATGTTTTAACTGAGAGGCGGTGGAAAAATCTTTTAGTTCAGAAAGGAAAAGCTTTGATCAGAATCGCTTCCAGGAGAACACGGAAGTGTGCGGAAAACCCCGAGAGTCGTATCGTCACACACTTTCTCACAAATGTTAATGAGTTGGTGGCGCACAACTAATCGATCCGTCCCAGAGATATTGCCACGGGAGGACTGCAGCCCATATAACAATAACAAAAACAACAAGAGAAAAGTTGATTTGGTTGATTGTTGAGACGGCGGCGAAGGTATGCTTTTATGTTCCGAAGACACGAAGACATTCCGACAGATGAGCGAATTCATTCAGCACAACTGCACGAATTGTCATTTATCTGGTAAGCACACCATCCTATTCAGAGAAGAAATAGCAAGTTTGTAACGTCCGCAATTGCCGTGCTCAGACACGCACATGGCAGCAAAAGGAAAAGGGTATCTAAGGGCACTGGAAGGTACGAAGTACAATATTCAGAACCCGCACCCACGAGTTTAGATCGCGCGAATAATATGTTAGACCATGTACAAATCACATTGACATACAAGATAGTTTTGAACCCTTTTCCTACTCCATGAAGATTTTGCATATGTAGTATAGAACATCAGAACCTCTATTTCGTTCGTTACGCACGTTGCGGTTGGTTTGTCTTTCATATGTCGTCGTGTTCTCTGTGGGTCTCCCGGTATTGAAAAAAGGAAAGAAAGAAATCAAATTAACCAAAGAAACCACGCGCCGAGGCGAGGCCGGGACGAGCATTTAACGTGATAGCTTCCCCCTCTGTGAACACCGCGGTTCATATGGAATTTGTCAATCAAAGCGGGATTCCGATAGGTTATCTCCGTTTCCCCTGCCTCCCATTCAACCACTGCTCTTCCATCATTTTCATCAGTTTCATCTAGGGAACATACACATTGACGCATTGGTATCGGACTCAAGAAGTGAACTGAAGAACAGGGAATAAGAGCCAATAGTCAATCAGAGCCTACGTGATTAATCTCCAACACACTCGCCCGTTTGTTCGCTAGTTCTTTCGTTCGTGAATTACCTCGCTCGTCCGTTCGTTCTTTTGTTCGCATATGCTGCCGTTCGTCGTTCTGTCTCCCACTTCGTTCGCCTGTTTGTTTGCTTGCCTTCCTGTACATTTGTTCGTCCATCCGTTCGCTCGCTCGCTCGCCCGTTCACTCGTCTATTCATTTACCCACGATTAATAGAAAGCTATCATCGCCCAAAAAACAAAGACTAGCAAACCATATCTAAAATTAAAGGCTAATTTCAGGCCAATTAAGTATACTATATTGTCTGTCTTTATAATCAATAATCACGCAATAAGAAAATAATTGTCTGTCTTTATAATCAATAATCACGGATGTTCAATGTAGAACAGGTAACATTTGTTCTAATGAAATAATAAACACGAAAACTCAAACCCGTCAGAAAAATACGACACACTACCTATAATTTAAGACAAACTTTAGCTTTTAGGAAAAAATACCGACACCGTGTCCAAAATGTAAGGTAATTTTAGTCTCTAGGGAAACAAATATTTAGTGCCTTATATTATATAATTTACGGTTGTACAAAGTAAAACAGGTAACATACGTTCTAAAGGGGCCCAACTCAAAACTACTCAATTCCAATACACAACTCAAAAACATCAGAAAAATCCGTCATGATAACCAAAATTCAAAGCTAAGTTCAGGCTCTACGAAACAAAACGGCCTTTAAACTCCAAAATTCAGAGTTCTACTAAGTAGAATGGCTACCTTATGTTTTTGTGGGATAACATACACGAACACTAAAAAACGCGAGAAAAAATTCGAGACAGTACCGAAAATTTCAGGAAATTTTGTGTCTAGAAAATATTGACAAAGCAAAACATGTGACATATTTCCTTTCGAGGTAATAAACACAAATACTCAAAAACCTTAGAAAATATGCAGCACATTGCCTTAAATTAAAGCAAATTTGGGCTTTAGGAAAATATTTCTTTACATTCTTTTGTAAACAATGAATATTAGTAATAGCCAATCACGGTTATTTACTGTTCAGCCAAACATTTCACCCCCACTCGACATCAACCAGGAGCAGTACGGTAGAATGGTTTGAGCGTGCGCATTTCTCAATATATTGTGATATATCTACTATTTCGTCTTTGTATAAGTGAACATGAAATTATTTATAATCCCTGTTTACTTCAAATCAATACCAACGAGTAAATATGTTACTTTTCATCGGTAATACGTTATCCCATAAGAACGCATGTTACCCAATTTTCTTAGCACAACCCTAATTTGTAGAAAACGTTTCCCCAGATCCTTTATGTTTAGGCGCGTTTTCGTTACCTTCCATTTCTGCGCAGGTGTACTATTTTCCAGGTGTGCGCTGCCAAGTTGAGGCTGAAGGTAGCAGCGCCCCCGTTTTTAGGAAAGCCACCAGAGCGTGCGACATTTGGCCGCGCCCTTCGCCGCTGCCCTTGGAGGCCGGCCTGGCGCGCGCCTGACGCAGCGATAAGGCGTTATAAATGTGAATGAACGCCTTCTTCCTCGCCCGCGCTTCTCTTGTTCTGTGTGACGCACGCGAGCGCCGCCCGCCCCCCCCCCCCCCACCTCCTCACCGCGCGCGGTTTCTTCAGCTCGGTGGGGAGCACCAGCATTCAAATACTCCTCCTTCGAGTTCGCTCAGAGCATCGATTGATATCACTACAGTGTCTCTGGTCGGGAGCTACTAGACTTTCGTCACTGGCTAGATAGATAGGTGGAATTCAGCTTCCGTCAGGAGGGGGATTCTGGTGGCCGGCAGCTCTGATCGGTAGTTTTTTTCCTACAAACATTAGGCAAATGCCGAAGCAGTACCTTAATAAACGAGCCACGGACCGCGCGCGATATTCCTTGTCTTATCCTCACCCTTTGTTTACGCACACTTACACTGTCATACACTGCACTCCCACATATGTCCTGAGCTAAGAGCTTGTCTCGGCTGAGGCTGGTGTGAGATACCTGGAAGGGGAATACCTGCAAGCCGACGTGTAGTTAGGCTCCGGATCTCGCCATCCACCGGGAAAATATTACCCCAACTTCCGCCAAAAATGCTATACACTTACAGCATTAATGACCGTAGCAGTTGGTGCGCCCGGAATCACTAATCCATCAATCCATGTTTTTGCGGCAGTAAGAACATTTGTTCACTATAAAGTATAATAGCCAAAATTTCTTCCTCATTTGGTTTTGAAAATAATTCCAATTACACTGCACCGATAATTTTCTAATAAATTCTTGCCAAAATGCTAATTCGCGCCTATATTCATAACAACATAATATAGTACACGAGTTAAGGTAGGTTTCCCTGAGGTCCGGAATACATGTATAGATTACACTTAGCTCCATAGTACAGCTTTTAACATGTTTTTTTGTTTTTTTTTGCTTAAATAAAACCAGTGTTGCTACTACAGCACATACGTTCTGACATTATTATTGAGGTGTGGCATTTCTTACTTTATCAATTAAGTCGCGAAATATGTATAATATTTAGTTTTTTAAATTAAAAGTGCCAAGAAGGAACAAAAAATGATCCACTGTGAGAAATAAAATAGTGAGACAATAT